CAAAATTTGATTAATATAATATATATACCTATACTATATACGTGTTTATGTAATGTATTATATATATACCTGTAATATAACATAAACTTATTCAGCTATGCTATCTCAATATCCATCAAATGAGACCACGTATCTAATGCCATCATCTTTGTATGCACAACATTAACAAAATTACAATGAAACATAATATATTAACAGATGCACATATTTACATTAGTGTTTTGGTTGTCTTTCTTTTTAACACGAAATGGCAGTGACATTTGCCAAATGCTTGAGATTTTTCTAAGTGATGGGCAGCCTAATAAGCTCTATTATTCAAAAAGTAATGTTATTTATTAACTATTAAGCTGTCTAACAAGATAGATGTTAAATGTCAAATTTTAGGAAGATTCGTTTTCGTTATGAAACCATTCCTTCGGAGATTGTAACCGTTAGATCAACTGTCTCTGACGATTACATGATGATCTAACTGTTACAAATCTCGACGGAATGATTCCGTAAAGAGGACCTTCGCATTTTCTCAAATTTTAAAAGATAAAACAAAATATGGCATTTCATATAATGAGAATGATATCCTCTACCCACGGTGGGCACGTGTTAATATGCCGACCGTTTATGGGGTCTGCACACATTAATGACATTAATATGTTAAAAATACATCACCAATGTGTGCATGCCACATAAGCGATGAGCATATTAACATGTGCTCACCGTTGGTAGGAAAACATTACTGATAGTATATAATATATCATATTTAAATTAATTTAATAATTATTGCCCAATTCAATGAGTTCAAAATCAACCAGAAATCCGGTTACAATATCCAAGAAAAATTGATTAACAAAAACAAAGAGTCTAAAACAGTAAAACACCCATTATTAATTAATACTAAAGGACAAGAAAAAGAAAAACATAAATCATGCAAAAAAAGGACGCACATTCGTATGATTCACGAAAAACATTTATAACAGCAACATCGATGAGACCAAAAACATTTATAACAGCAACAATAATATACTACTACCTTTTTTTTATTTTAAATGTCATTTTAGTTTTATCAACTATTAACTAAATAAATGTCATTTTGAATTTTTTGTACATATTTTTCCATTATTACCCTTATTTAGTCAATAAATATATTACGTCTTTTCATATTCACTCTTCATTTTTTTTTTTAAACATTCATCTATATCTTCATTAAATAAAGTTATTATTGACAAAAAAAATATTCTTAATTAGTGTGCAACTTCTCAAAACGACATAAATTAAAAATAGGAAGTAGTAAATATTTTTCCATCAATACCTTCATCTATTTAATAAATACAATACCCCTTTTCATATTCACTCATCATCTTTTCTCAAAACATTCATCTCTATCCTCATTAATGAAAGTTATTATTGACAAAAAAAAAATATTTTTAATTACTGTACAACTTCTCAAAACGACATTTATTAAAAATAAAAAGGAGTATTAAATTAACACATAATCATAATTGAAATTCAAATAATAATTGAAATA